GGCCAGAGGGTGACCTGTGCCAGAGCAGGGACACCACTGAGGGGCCTGGGGCCTGTGGGAAATACAGATGTAGGAGCACCCTGAGGGGCTGTAGCTCATGGAAAAGAGATGCTGTAGCACAGAAAGTGGAAGGAAACCTTCTGCATTACCTATTGTCTCACTGCAGCACAGAGGGAGGGGAAGTGAGGGAGGGGGAGGAGAGGTATTGACCTGCAACTGAGCCTGGGGGAGGAAGGAACTTCCCCTAAGTGTTTAATTGTTGTCCTTGTTCCCCAATGCCTGAATCAGTAATTAAACGTTTGTTTTAATTGTCAGGAAAGCCAATTAAGTGAGATTACCCCAGCTGAGATTATTTTGCCCATGACAATGTCACAGAGATGTGGCACTGTGGTCGCGAATTTTGGTGTTAAGTAATTATTGTAGCTTTTGAATTGGCCTGAGTTCCTCATAATTTTCATCCTAAAGGTACTTTTTTGCTTGTAAAAATATGAACTGTAACATCTACACTATATTCACCTGTACTTATGTGCCAGTACAGAGTTGCTGCCATTAACCCTTCAATGTATAAACATTGTAATAACTACCAAATGTTGCATTTTCCTGGCCACAGCTACAGCTGTGCTGAGGCAAAACAGGCTGCTGATGGCTTAGTAGATGCAAAGAGAGAATTTGCAATTGAATATTTAATCTGGGGAAATTCACAGGATCCCTAGGGCAAAGAAGCTATAATTTGTGCCGATGTGACAGACTTATTTTTTACTACTTTACTGTAATAGTTTAAGGCAGGATAAAGGTGCTGCAGTTGTACTGTGTTGATTGAAGAATACTCTTCTTTAAAATAGGTTTTTGAAGACTTTGGGTGATGATGAGGAAACAGTGATAACTGAGTTAAAATGACAGCTGATGGTGCCAACTTCAATTACTTGTTTCTTAGCACAGCTCACTTGTAGACTTTTTGCTGTGGCTTATAACCTTGGTTATAACTTTTCTGTTAGGAGTTTTCTGTGAGGCATCTTTGCTTCAAAATACTGTGACTTTACTGAATAATCTATCAGTTTTATCCATAAATTTAGCCAGCAAATACATAATTTACCTAAGCTAGATATGTAGGAGGCATTGTCATTGCAACATAACCACCTTTAATATTTAAACCTCTAAACACCAAAGATGTAAGTTATAGCTACAAGTTATGTAATTTCTGGAAGAAGTCAACTCCCACTCTAAGTTTTATGAGTTTATAAGTTTTGTACATGCTAAATGTGTCATGGTGTCCTAGTAACTTAAATCTGTAGGGAATGCTCCCTAACTATATGTATCTTTAGTTCTCTGAGCTCCCCATGATGACCAAATTCAGCATGGAATATCCCAGTAGAGTAGGTGAAAATATTCTGCTTTTATGTGTTTTTACATGTTGGTACAGTAAATCTGGGCACTGTGAGAAGTGAGCTTGCTAACACAACTGACTGAGGAAATAATTTTGTGTGATCGTGTTCTTTTTTTTTTTTCCCCCCATGGTATAGGTTGAAGTTAATGTTATACAGTTGAAGTGGTGAAACACTGTAACAATAACAAATGAAATTAATCAGTCCCTCAGACTTTTCTCTTGTCAAGGCATAGTTGGTATTGTATTTATTAAAAGAGTTACATAACTAAACGTTGAACAATGAGGAAAAACTAAATATAAATTGGCTGCTCATTTAGAGTGTAGTATCTACTGTTTTGAATAGAAAGTGTCCTGGAGAAAAGTATGTGTTCTTGTCTAATAAAGTGGTGTGTAACAAAGCTTAGGTACAATGAGATCAACAGACATTCATTTCACTAGCTTTTTTTAATCAGAGTTCTTTGGTTAATTATTCTACAATTCTCTGCAAAACCACAAAGTAAGGATAGTTATGGTTGCTGCAGTCAAATAGAAGTATTTAAGTCTGCATGTTTGTGTTGTACGGTTTGTCTTTTTAGTTGTTTTTTCCTTCTATGTGATTACAATATGGTTGTAACTCTTCTAACACTTCCTCTTCCACTTTTACTTGATGTTTGCACCTTGCCTTTTCAGACTGGATTAGCTATTTTGTTCATAATCTGGGGGGGGTGGGAGGGGGGAAATGATACTGGCACAGTGTTAATGTGCATCTCTTTCCAAACATGGCAATGCGTATCCTGTACATCCTCAAAAAGATTGTGAAGGGGAGTTTGATGTATCCAACAAATTGTTATGCATTCAGCTACACATAGATAAAGCAAGTGGCCCATCTTTTAGTATGCAGGTATATCTGACCTGGACAATAATGAAACAACTGCTGGCCACCAGGCTTATGCTAACAGGTCTGTTTGGGTAGTGCTGCTCTGGTTGTTGCATTGTTGGATATTAGGAAGAAATTTTTACAGAGAGATTAATCAGACATTGGAATGGGCTGCCCAGAGAGATGGTGGATTCTCTGTCCCTGGAGCTTTTTAAGATGAGACTGGGTGTGGCACTGAGTGCCATGGTCTAGTAACCACGGTGGTGTTGGATCAAGGGTTGGACTTGATGATTTTGAGGGTCTTTTCCAACCTGGTTGATTCTATGATCTGAATTATCTTTGTTGCAAAAGCTCACTGCCTTGCCAGCATGTATGACTGCAAAGTTCATCACAGTGAAAAGTAAAATTGGACAGTCTGTGGACCAGCAGAACTCCAGGGATGAGTTGACATTCCTAGTTGAACCAGAACACTATATGTCTTCCAGAAGCAATATGTAGAGCCATCTCACAGAAAACTGAAATAAGATCCGAGAGGTAGGTTTATACTGTGTTATACTGCTCCTTACCTTAGGAACCTTTGGTACCTTAGTACCGAAGTACTGAGTTAGGCTTAGAAGCAAAAATCTGTGCTCTGTAAGGAGAAAATAAGATCTGTTTAAGTTTCATAAAAGGCCTATGAGGGCATAATTGGTTCTAATTGGTTCTCATTGGAGGACTAACATGGTCTACCTGCAGCCAAATGGCTCTTAGAGAGACAAAGAATTAATTGGTCTTCATAAATAGTGAAGAACTCTCCACCAAGCTTGTTTTTGCTGCTGAAGGGCCTGATAACCAGTACAAAGAAAAGGAGGATAACTTGCAGTTCAAGTGACAGTAATTTTGAAAAGTGGGGTTTAATCTGTGAAGTAACAAGTAAATCTTGTTTTGCTTAAGACTTTGCTGTGCCTAGTTTTGGTCTGTAATGCAAATACACATGGAAGTTATAGAACAAATTGATAAACTGAGGGAGAATATTTGTAGCATAGTTTTAGGGGGCTGTTGGTATACCTGTGCATGAGGGGAAGACATAGATAATTCACTACCTGGTCATCTCCAACTATCTAACCATACGGTTACAGATACAGTTGGGGATTTTTTTAAACAAACAAACAAACAAACCAACCTCCTTTCTATACATCCTGCAGTAGTCATGCACCCTATATCTGGAGTTCAAAGGTCAACTGGGAGATTGAATTCAGTCTGTAAAATTAATCTTTCTGAAACTGAAATATGTGCACAGTTGTAGAATGCCAGTGTGCTCTTTTGTTAATTCTGGATTATGAGTGAAATTTCCTATCTAACCCTGATTTCAGACACACTTGTCTGAATTTTCTGAAGGCATGTTCTGTTGGATATGCACAGGCCTAGAAGGAAGGAAACATAATTAGTTTTCATTCTGTCATTGAGTCAGCTGTTAACAAATAATTTCATTCCTGTGTGGCTGAGTTTTTGATGTTTGTTTTGGTAATGTGTTCTGAGATGTCCAAAGGAAGCCTCTTTAGCAAGGGAGAAGCGTATCAATTATTTCTACTAATGTGTAGCATTTATTTGGAATTCATATCATAAACAGCTTTAGTGAAGCTGCAGCTTTGTAGGCAAGTGTAGAAGTTATCCATATATGATTCCTGTTTCTGTATCTAACTACATTTACTCTGCTCATGATTGCTTGATGCATGTTTCTGGTTGGTATGGTGGGAAAAAAAATCATCAGTTGTATTTTCACTCAGATTAGAAAGTGTACCCAGTAATTGCCTGTGCTTTCCACAGATATTTCATCCTTGTTTCAGTAATGGAAGCTGGTTATTTTTGCTTACTGTTATGTAACATTGTAATAGGGCTCAGAAAATGAGGTTCAGTAAGTGGCTGAAGCATTGAGAAGTGTTTTTCCTGGTATGCCTGTAGATTTTTTTTTTTTTCAGATATTTTCAGAATTTCAGATATATTTTCCAAGAAGCTCAGGGGCTGATTTTATAACTGCTGAGTTATAAAATCTTACTTCTAACTTGGAGTGTTTAGTACAAGTCAGATTGTGAACTCCAGAATGCTTTTGCTTCTCAGCTTCCTTGTTTGGGACAACAATTCCTCACTTGCGTGTCTGTCTTCCTCAGCTCAGATGGCCCTCATGAATGTGGGAGGACAGTGTTCATCTTGGGAGAGGTTTGGTGTTGTCCTTAAAAACAAGGGCAAGGAAAAAATTCCCAGGCTCACTGTAAAGACAAACGGTGCTGGAAATCTGTGGATTAAATATCAAAAAATCTTAGGAAGTGTTGAGAAAAGGATAGGCTTCTACTATGTATGAATAGTCTTCAGCTGAAGGCATGTCCAGCCTCAAGGAGAACTGCCAATATTTCCTTTAAATCCCCTAATAAGATTGAATCCTATGCATTTGAAACAGAAGGGGCGTGTTGTTTTTCACCCCCCAGAAAGGCAGTGTCCTATCCAGCACTGTCTGGGGTATTAGCACTAATGAAATCATTTATTCTTGATAAGCCATCTTGATCAGTTTTGATAAAGTCTTATCTTTATCTTAAATGCTGCTTGTCTTTTTTTGGGAACTAATAATGTACTTCATCCGGCCTGCCAGCAGGAGGCATGAATTTCACCCATGTAACTAATGAAGGCATATGCTTGCTTTAATTGTTCCTCTTGGAAATCAAAGCATTACCACCAGAGTTGGCAAATAGTAACTAATACATTTTTCTTTGGTTTTGTATTTTTTAGCTGGTGCCACATATATATTTGGGAAGAGTGGAGGTCTCATCCTGTACACCTGGCCAGCTAATGATAGACCAAGCACGAGGACAGACCGTCTTGCTGTGGGCTTCAGCACAACAGTGAAGGATGGCATCCTTGTTCGGATTGACAGTGCCCCTGGGCTTGGTGATTTTCTGCAGCTGCACATAGTGAGTATAGATGGGCCCATGTCTATGCCAGACCTGGGTTTCTGTTACCTGAATTTGAAGAAAACTGTTACTCTAAAATAACGTGTATAATATTCTGTGCTTTCTATGTCTTCAGCACTTGTCATATTAAACGGCCTTTAGTAGTTCTTTAGTGTTTTGTAGAATTACCAACTGGGAGGCACCGGGAACCAAGTCGTGATGCCAGAAGAAATTGGGGAGGGAAGACACAAACAAAAAAAACTCAAAAGCCTTATGTGATTCAACAGCAGTAGGATTTATATAAAAATTGAAAAAATGTTTTGCATCAGTGTTAATATACTGTGGCATATGCACAGTCCTGAATACAGCTGAATTTATGGTGAAGTATTACTATTCTTGGAAGGTAAAGAATAAAAGGGAGTGATAGGGTGTTGTTTTTTTCCACACTAAGAAAGTTAAGTGAGAACTGAACAGATCCTCAGCAGGATCCTAGCAGGATAGTTCAAAAGAATAAGAATTTGATGTTAGTGCAACAGGGCTTTGCAAAAAAAAAAAAAAATAGACTTTCTTGTGAGAGCTTGAGTGAAGGTGGCTTTGGGGAGAGTTGAATTATTTGAGAAAATGAGAACACTAGAACTGGAAACTTTAGAAGTTTGTTACTTTACATGATGTTTTGGGAGGCGAAGTGGTTGTTTACTTTTTCTTCCTTTGAGAAATAGCCAAGAGGTTTACTAGAGGTAAAAGCTGATCATGTGACTCCATGTTCACTTATTTCCCATGTTTTATGAGTTAATTTGTAGTGGAAAGGGACCATTTGCAAGTTTTGAATGAGCTAGGGAGTTGTTAACATTTCATGGAACCTTCAAGGTATAAGTAAACATGAGGAATGGCCGGGGCCAAAACAGACCAAATGTGAATGACATTTGAATGAGGGTCTTATTCTGCTGCTGGAGTTTGCCATGTTCAGAATTCTGTTGAAGCACTGGGTGTTTTGCAGGATTGTTCTGAAACAACCAGGGACAAGGGTCAGGGCTAGTAGTCATTGCCAGCATTTTAATTGGTTTTATTTTGAATCCCATTGTAAAATTCAGATTCGTTGGAATGAGTTAGCATATGGCCTTAAGCCATTAGACTCTCACCAATCCTGATTTCTATCTTTTGTGATATATTAAAATATCTAGTTTGTGTTTTGTGCTAGAATGAAAATGAGATCAAATCCTGGTGTATTTTTTTATAGAAAACCACTTTTTCTTGCTTTCTTAAAAGCAAAACAAAAAGAACCCCAGAAGAGTTGGTAAAAGTGAATAGTGCTAAACATAATTGGTTGGAATTCCGTGACTCACATTAAGCAAAAGTGACTGGATATGTCTGAGGAAGACAATGTATAGTCTTTAGATGTTATAATACAACATGTGTAAAATGCTGGCACTTAACTGGACACCAGTATTCCTGGCATGTGAGGAGAGGTGCAGAGATATAAATTTGTCGTAGGAAAAGTCTGAGATGAGATCTTGTTGCTCTTGAATACCTAGTGGGACATTACAGAGCAAATGGAAGTCAGGCTCTTCTTTGTGGTAGTCAGTGAAAGGGAGAGGAAACAGACACAAATACAAAAAAAGAAATTTTAATCCTGCATGAAGATAAGAACTCGCACAATGAGACTTTTCAGCATTAATGATGAAGGGACATGGTTTTTCTCTATATCTTGGTTTTAAATATCTACCTTTCTCTGTCCTCAAGTGAACTTTTTAATAAGTGATTTTCTAAAAAAAATTATAACAAATTTTGCTGAATAGACTGAAACAAACAAATTGAACCTGAGATGTAAACATTCATTAAAAAAAATATAAAATTGCTGTCTCTTTCCAATCAGTTTTGGAAGTTTTTCTGCTTTCTCCCCATATATTTTTTTCAAACTACTCTACGTGGCGTGGTGCTAGTTTCATATTATTTCAGATACCTAAATAAAATCTACTGATTGGGGTTGATATTAATGCAGAGGGTTCTGTTGAATGCTTCCTGTGTAGTTTGGCCAATTTTATACCTGACGGTGTTCACTAGTGGTAAATCTAGAACTAGTTTGGGTATAATTTGTCTTGTTCTTTTGTGGCCAGGATGGATAAGGGTGATTTGCCAGTCATTCATGAGGAACAACGGCATGCTTACTGTGCTCTTCTGGGTATAGTATCCGTTCATCATATGTATTACTGACTCTACCTACCTATTCAAATAAGCAATGTGATCTGAGACTCATGCTGCTACATGCAATAGAAAAGTTGCATAGAAACTTCTAAAGTGTTATTGACTTTTTGAATGGCTGTAAGACTTTATCTCTGGTTTATTGTTCAATGTTGTAGAAGTGAGCTTACGTCGGGATGATCTTGGAAAAAGTTGAAATCTGAAATTAAAGGTACATCTTTAAATGAGACTTAAGATGCAAAACCATTTAGGACCTCTTACTTAGCAAATTGCATGCAAGCTTTCCGCAAGACCAAGATCTTTTGTAACTGAATCAAAACTACCGCAGGCTTTGTGCTGTCATCCTCAAAGACTCTGTCCATCTTCCTTTCTTCAAAACCTTCCATTAGGTGATTTTCAATTGTCAAGAGAAACAAAGCAGCATGGATCAAATTGTAATACAAATATGGGATAAATAGATTTGTAAATCCGAGGTATTAAGCAGATTAAATTGATAATTAATTGATAATAAATTAAATTTAAAACAAAGGTTTTAAAACCAAATATTGAACTGTAAAGCAAATTATAGGAGAAGGAGAAAATAGATATTAAACCAGGAAGTCTAATTTTAATATAATTTATTATATGTGTCTTTAGCAACTTGACTTTTTCAGAAGCAGTTGTATTTAATAATAATAGTAATAATGAAAGTTACAGGAATCTTCCTGGAGGAGTGTTGGGGGGAGCTTTTCTTCTGGGACCTTTCTAGATATTCCACTCATAGACTATATTTTGGATGCTATTTACTGGATTTTGACCTCCTTACACTTCTCTGGGTGTTCTATTGGTGAAAAGTGATGAAAGCCACATGATGATCATTGTTTTCGAATATGCATCACTAAACTAAAACTAATCCAAATGTCATAGTGTAGGCTATGGTTTATCAAGATCTGATTCTATTTGAAAGATTCTAAAAGTTGTGCATACTCTGCTAAGGAAAATTTTTAATAATTTGTCTGCTTTTTGAACATCATGTATGTTGTGGAGTGTCCATTATGATCTCTTTCTGTTTATAAGATTTAAAGTAAAAAATATATTTTATTATGAAGATACATATTTGCTTGTTTAATTTACAGTTGTTCTGTTTGGATTCATTTTTTAATTATGAGTCAGATACTGTGAAAATTTATTGACTAAGATGTCTCTTTTATATGACAAAAAATTACAGCCTCTGAAACAATTTTCTCTCCTGATTTAAAATGAGATATAAAGGGGCAGCCCTGCAAAAATGGATAGCATACCATCTAGATCGATGTTGCATATGAAACATGATGTGTTTGTGTGATTAGACTGTACCACATGGAATGAGAGTGTTTCTAGAGCATCAGCTCCCTCCTTATGATATTTTTCTTTTGTTTTCCTTACAATTCATTCAAAGTACCAAGTCCAAACCTGGGTCAGGAAATTGTCTTCCACAATGGATACTTAAAAGACTGTATATCTGAGTTGTGGTTTAATGTTTCTATATGTTCATTCAGCCTACTCTACCACAATGGTGTTTTGTGCTTTACAACATGCAGACATCGAGATCAAATGAGCAAAGGAAGACAGCTGCAGGCGATGATGGGTATCGTTCTTGTGATGACTGTGGAGAGAGAAATCACCCATTCATATGTGAGGCTGGTTTAGTCTGCATTCTTTCATTTTGTTCTGTATGGTAAACTGCCATCTAGCCTCTGGATGTTCAGAATGGTGGTGTGAGACTGGGCCAGATTCTGAACTCCTTGTAAGAAGTAAACTTGAGGTTTGGGCAAAAATGTTTGTGATTTTGTGAGGAGTTTTATTTCAGTAGACCCAGGCTAGTGGAGATACATCACATAGTACCAGGCTACCACTGAAAGCTGCAGAATTTGATGTAGACCATTCTTATTCTTAATAGCATTTTATGTTTTATTTTAACTTTTCTATAAACAAAATCTTTTTGATGCAAAATATTTCAGCCTTTCTTAGGCCAAATTCAGACTGGATATTAATAGTTACACTTTTATACCTAAGAAAGTAGAAAGAAGAGAGTTTCCTTAGGGCTAGCCTGCTTTATTTTACAAAGGCTATAGACCATGAAAAAATGTAGGTGATTTGCCTCAGTCTCCTATCTTGTGTTTTTCTTCTTTTTTTTTTATATCTGCCCTTACTAGTGTTACGGTTTTCTCTTAAAGTGTGTGCTTCACCATGTTAGATGCCTTTTTTATTCCTGTATAGAACTTAGTTTGTTCAAGTTTAATTTTTTGTGATTATAAATAATTTTACACCATCGTATCTTGACTGTGTGTACGTTGATGTCTCTTTGGAATAGCGCTGCTATTCTTGCCTCTCCAGGCTTTAAAGCCATGTAGAGTAAGTCTTTGAGTTTGATACAGTTCTTGGAGTATACAAGTGATTAAGCGTCCTGTAAGCAGTTATCAGTTCTGAAGTGTTTAGTGCCCATTATGCCTCATTTCATTCATGAAACAGCAAAGAACTGTGTACATTTCTCCTAATTTGTTTATGCAAATTATAAGCCCCTGCGGATTGGTATAAAACATATATTCAGTAAAAGATTTTCTATACTGAAGCAATCAGTGGATCATGAAAAGGTGAAATGTGAAAAGGCTTTTTTGTTGAAGCAAGAAATTATTTACTGACAATCTGTGTATAAGAGAAAACATCTAGGATAACACATTTAGCTGAGGAAGTGAAAAATTAATGAATGAGAGTGACTAGACTGCCTAGTGGTAAGGAGAGAGAATTAGGATGAGTTTTCAAGCAAAAGATTATATTGTCTGGATCCTTAGAAGTTCTAAAAGAACAAACTGCCTAAAGACTTTTTTTACCAAGACAAATCTAGCAACCAACCTGAGGGAGTACTATGGAGGTCTCCTGTGATT